ACGGTCGGTCCCCCGGTGTTCGCACGCGCGCGCCGCCTCGACCCCGCGAAACTCTCCGTCGCTCGGGAAGAGTTTGCCGCAATGGAGCGCCTCGGCATAGTACAGCGCTTGAATAGTGCCTGGGCTTCTCCGCTACACTTGGTGCCCAAGTCAGACGGTCGGTGGCGGCCGTGTGGGGATTTTCGCCATTTGAACAATGTCACGGAGAACGACCGTTACCCCATTCCCCACATCCAGGATTTTTCCACCCACCTCGCCGGCACCTCGATTTTTTCTAAAATTGACTTGGTGCAGGGGTATCACCAGGTTCCCATGCGCGCCGAAGACGTCCCCAAAACTGCCGTTATTACCCCTTTCGGCCTGTTTGAATTTTTGCGCATGCTGTTCAGCCTGAAAGGCGCGGCCCAGACTTTTCAGCGGTTGATGGACTCTGTTTTGCGCGGGCTGCCTTTCGTCTTCGTGTACCTTGACGATATATTGGTGGCCAGCTGCTCTGAGAGTCAGCACGCGTCCCATCCGCATCAGGTTTTCCAGAGCTTGGCGGCACACGGCCTGATCGTCAACCCCTCCAAGTGCCAGTTCGGCTTGCCGGTTCTGGGTTTCTTGGGCCACCGCATTTCCGCTGACGGTGTGGTTCCGTTGCCAGACAAGGTCCGGGCCGTTTCGGCTTTTCCGCGTCCTGCGTCCGTTAAAGCACTGCAGGAGTTCTTGGGGATGGTCAATTTCTACAACCGCTTTCTCCCCAGAGCTGCGCACCTGCTGCAGCCTCTTTATGCTGCCTTGAAGGGTAAAACAGCTAAGGACCCGATTGATTGGCTCCGTGAACGCATCCAGGCATTTTCTGGGGCCAAGACCACGCTGGCAAACGCCGCCCTGCTGGCCCACCCGTTTCCATCGGCAGAGATTGCGTTGACCTCCGACGCGTCGGACGTGGCAGTGGGCGCAGTGTTAGAACAGCGGGTCTCCGGTGTCTGGCAACCGCTCGCTTTTTTTAGTCGCACGCTTAGGGACAGCGAGCACAAATATAGCGTTTTTGACAGGGAGTTGCTGGCCCTACACCTCGCGACACGGCATTTTCGTTTTTTTCTCGAGGGTCAGAGCTTCACCGCGTACGTCGATCATAAACCTTTGACATTCGCAATGTCCAAGGTCTCTGATCCATGGAGCGGGCGCCAGCAGCGCCAGTTGGCTGCCATTTCCGAGTTCACAACTGGCATTCAGCACGTGGCTGGTAAGTCCAACAGTGGCTGACTGTCTATCCCGTGTGCTGGTTTCTCCCGTTTATGTTGGCATAGACTTTGAGGCTATGGCCGCTGACCAACAGGCCGACCCGGACGTCCTTGCCCTTCGGTCTGCGGAAACGGGCCTTGTACTGGGGGACAGACCCGTGTGGAATGGGGGGCCTAGCCTGCTTTGCGATGTTTCCACCAGCCGTCCACGCCCTGTAGTTCCCCTTTCGTGGCGTCGTCGCGTTTTCGACTCTGTACACGCCCTCTCTGGTCAGCTCTAGGTTCGTTTGGCCGTGCCTTCGTAAATTGGTGAAAGACTGGGCAGCCGCGTGCATCCCATGCCAACGCGCTAAGATCCATAGGCACACACAGGCGCCCCTCGAATCCTTCCGCGTTCCAGGGAGGCGTTTTGATCATGTGCATGTGGATCTGGTTGGTCCTCTGCCGCAGTCACAAGGTTT